ACAGATTCTGTATACCTTATTAAAGAAAATAAATTTGACACGACAGTGTTCCTTTAAAAGAACACAGTTTCCTTGTTTCAGTAATAGCTGAAAGAGTAGAAGACACAGCCACACAAAAACCTTAAAGCAAAAGCTTGACTATAGAGTCCAGGAGTTTCTTGTAGTAGCTGAAAACAAACTTAGGGTTTGGAGATTGATTTGATCACAGCTGTGTATGAAAGAAAGAAAAGCAGGATAAGCAGGCATAGGAGGAAACAAAAACTCCCAAGAGACAGCTTGAAGCTATCCCTGAGAAAAAAACAAAAAGATTTTGAGTGGAATGGTGACTGGGAGGAGGCTAGAAGCTATGGGAAAGGAAACCTTTTCTGTGCAGAAGCTCAAGAGAATCCAAAGGAAGGCTACATGCATGATTAGAGGTCTAGAGAGCAGGTCATACAAGGAGAGGCTGAAAGACTTGGGACTGTTCAGCCTAGAGAAGAGAAGACTCAGAGGCGACTTCGTGGCAGCCAATAAGTATATTTGGGGCATACATCAGAGCCTGGGGGAGCATTTGTTCACAAGGCCCCCCCCAGGGGAAGACAAAAAACAATGGGTACAAGCTGATTGAAGATTGCTTCAGACTGGACATAAGGAAAAACTTCTTTACAAGTCAAGTGCCAAGGATCTAGAACAGGCTCCCCACAGAGGTGGCACAGTCACCCACCCTGGCAATCTTCAAAAAGTGTCTTGATGCCCATCTTGCTGGGGTCATCTGAGCCCAGCAGTCTTCCCTGCCCAAGTGTAGAGGGGCTGGACCCAATGATATTGTAACGTCCCTTCTAGCCCCTAACATCTATGAATCTATTAAAAACATTTCCTCCTCATAGAAATAACCCACAGGACCCTAAAAGTAGAGCCAAAAGGGGTAACAATGTTTAAAGACTGTTTTTATCCACTAGCACATCGTCTAAATGTTTCACAAACAATATTTTTATTCCCATGACAGAACGATAAAGATGGTGAAAACTGTCAGGTGTGAACAGGTACACAAGGAAATCCAGTGAGATATGATAAAGATAACCATGCATACAGCTGGGAATAAAATTTACATCTTTTGCTTCAGCTTCTATACCTGCTTTTGCTTAGCACCTACAAACCATTTTCCATCTTTAAAGTACTTTCAAATTCATGTACTATAATCATAACATCGCATATATGAGATAGTCTGCAAACACAATTGCATATTTTACAGATGGGAAATCCAGGTCGAAATGAAGTAGCATGGCAGAGGCCACAGAAAGAACTGAGTCTGATGTCAGACAGGCCTGGCTCCCAACATTGTATTCCAATTACTAGACCAAACTTGTCCATTTTTATAAATATGGTAGTTCCTCTTTTCATCTCCCAGTTTTGCGAGAACAACTGACAAACAGTGCAAGTGAATAAAATATTTTTTTACAAAGTAATTAAAATACTTATAGGAATGTAATGTATTATTACAGATTAATACTATTATAGGCCAAAACTTCTATCACCTTCCTTACTGGCACTTTTTTACATTGAAAATGTAGCCCAATGTGTCATATTTCTACTATCAAGTAGAGCAAAAATTAATGTGCTCAACCATAGCCTTCTATAGCCTTAGATCTTTATTTTCTGACAGAGATCACCGAGGTTATTCTTGTTCTTTCCAAAAGAAGCCACCTTTAAAGTTCAGAAAAAAAATTTAGCATTTCATATAAAAGACGGCAGCAGCAATGAGAGATCTGAGTGTGTGGTGACTGCAAGATCAGACCACAGATGACAGAACCGATTGCATAATTCAGTTGGATGCTCTGCCTTTTACACACTTTAGATTTTTTATTGTGATTTAGGTGAATATGGGACAGAATGCCACTGGTTGCCTTCTAATACTTCCTACTTTATATATGCAAATTTCTCAAGACAGAGTTGGAAATTGAGGAATGGCTGAAATAAAGCTAGGATTGAATATTTCATGTGTAACCAGCATGTTTATCCCCACATTTTAAAAATATTTGGGTGGGATCCAATTAAGACTGTGCTAAACATGACAAAAACTGACCATCTTCCTTACACCCTATGGTGTTTGAGCTCCACATCAAAGGCAGATGAGACACTTAGTTGGCTTGTCATATCGCTACTTAATTTTCAAGCTGCATAAACAGATTTATTGGCTGGCAGATCAATTGTCATAGGTTGCCAATTCAGAAATATGGTTGGGTTGAGTAAGCAACTGGAGAATATATGAGTTCAAGAGAAAAATAAGTGTTGCAGTGTAAATGCAGTAAAGTGTTGTCCAGAACAGCTGTATGTAGTTTCACTGGAACAAAGTGAATATATACCTACACAAAGGTAGATCTTTTCTGCAAAAGAGAATAGAATTCAGGACAACTTTGTTCTCATTAATGGAAAAAGACTCACCATCAAATCCCAAACCACCATTTCTCCTCCATCTACACTGGGCATAGACACACAATATATTTACATCAATGCCTGTTACAATGGTGTCCAAAAACAAACAGGGAACCAGCTCTGGCACTGGCAATTTCTCTTGGGAGAGTAGCGATTCTCTCAGTAGAAATATAACGCCCATGCGTAGCCCCAATCTGTGCATTTGGGTAAATTATCCTGGTATATAACTCATAATTCCTGACTTTCTAAGAGGTATATTAAGCCAGAATGAAGTGACTTACATTGGTGTGGAACTGAACGTTGTCTGTCTTTTCCACATTTACACTTGTATAAAGGGAGATTACCTCTGTGTAGATGTGCTACATATCCATGACAGCATTTATAAATGTGGTCAGAGATCATAGATCAGGACTAGTATGTCATTTCTTTATCTTCACTTTTCTCAAATATAATGATAACTGCTTCCTAGAATCTACTCACATTTAGACCCCTTTTTTGGAAATGTAACCTTTGCAGGATTGTTTACTCTGTTTGAAATATTCCTGATCATGGTTTCCCATGGGCGGAACATATTCTCTCCTGTAATCCAATTTCTGTATGTTACCAGAAAAATGCTTCATCCTTTCTACTGGGGGTCCCCCACCCCCTGCCTGGTGAGTAAATTCCATATTCTGTTTGGAGACAATAGGCTAACTTTCCAGCACATTTCCAATAGCCCTTAGGCTCAGTTTTAAAGGTATTTTGGTACCTCTATACTCATGTAATACAAAAGGGCCAAATCCAGAAAAGGACTCAAGCACCTGAAGTACAAAATAAGGCAGAATGTAGGAATTTAATCCAAATGAGCAATCTGAAATCTTCCCTTCCCCAATCTCCCTCCCACCCAAAAAAGAGTGAGTTTGTTGGCTTACCCAAAGGCACAAACTAATAGGTGCCTATGTCTAGGATGCAATTTCAGGCTGTGAATCTCAGCCTCATGTTGGCACCAAACTCAGAGACAGAGAAGCAGGATTTCACAAACACACATTTTAAGTAGAGTGAGACAAGTGAATGTGCCTTAGGGGTAAAATTAGATTCTGGCCCATAGAGCCTATAATGAATGATGAGTGTTGTAACACCTAAATGCTTTTAAATTGTGAACTTTAATGCAATGCTTTTGTCAGGGATGGGAGAGTGTGCACTGGGCTCTGGCTACTCTGTGATGAAATAATGGCCTTTTAGAAGTATAACCAGGTAATATAGACATGCCATAGATTTTCTAAAGCATGCTAGGACCCATGCTGAATTCCCCATAGAACCAGAGAGATGTAGTCAACTCCCTTGGAGACTACCCATCCAACTACACTCACTAAAAGAGCACAACCAGTCCAAACATTTTTAGCATGAAAGCAACAACTAATGAGGATGTTTCTTTTGTTGGACTTGGAACAAATCAAGTTTGTTCCTCATTTAATAACATAGTTTTCTTCTTCATAATATTTAAAGGGAAAATATTTTAAACGATCTATACATTGGTTTATTAAAATTTTTGTTTTGCATTCAAAATACATGTGATCAAACACCTGGCTACATTTTAAAGCCAACATGCAGTTGTTACATTGCTTTTTCTGAGAAAATGGCCACAAAGTAAGATTCACACAAGTAACATAACTCAGCAAATGACCTTTCCTGTTGACAAAAGACACAATATTTTTAAATCAAAGAATTAAGTTGTTGTTGTTTTGTTTTTTTTTACAGAAGAATTAAGAGGGGAGAAAGACCATTGTTCATTACAACACAACCATAACTGTAGTAGACAGGAAAGAGCTGCATTTGGCATATTTCATCAGATGTGTGTTGCTTACATAAATTGATTAATTGAGGCAAAGGGAACTGTATCGCTACACTGGCTCTGAATGATTTCCCTGGACACTCCTGAAAATGAGATGACATATCTCAAGAGAAGACTTCCTGGTTAAGTCATTTTAAATAACTATATTAAAAACAAATTCGAGTTCACATTCAAGGCCAGATTCTCGATTTCATGAAAGGCCCTTTTACTCCTTTCTGGCAATATAAAGAGATACTACATTGCATTTACATCCTTTTTATGTCCCTCTTTGTACTGCCAGAAAGATGTTAAGCAGCCTTCATGTGAATGAATCAGGCCAGTAAAGTACAGCTATATCCTACATTGCCAAAAGCGTACCTTTTATACCGGAAAAGAGCATATGTAGGACATAATGCTGCCATTCTAAAGATCAGTTTCAAGTAGACACATATTCAAAGCACAAGACTATTTCTGTTTTAATCAAGAGCAAGCTGATTAAATCTGTAGTTTTACAAGCAGAGGGAATTAACTAACTGAAAACACATTTATATCAATACAAAACTTTATGATACCATAAGTTTGGAAACAGTGCCTGTTCTGAACAGTTACATCCACTTCACTTGGCCTGCACTATTTGAAATAAACATCTGTTTACATTATGAACACACCGATACCTTTGTCTCTGTTGGTTTTATCATAGAAATGCACAGCAAATTATTTTTAAGCGCAAGGTTAAACATTAGATGCTAAAATTGGGAGTATTTTCTTGAGCACTTATTTATGACTTTGCTCGTCGAAAGGAAGTTTTTTTAAGTCCTGATCCAACTCCATTGCGAAAGGACCTTTTATTGAAAGACATCTCCAGGTAAGGCTTTAGAAAAGCCAATTCTTCACTCCTGTCCACCTTAGCTAAGCAGCTATTCAGGAGGATGAGGCAGTAATCAGATTTCCCATACAGCTGGCAATTCAAATAAAAAGGATTATTGCTCTGAAGATAAAAACACAGACACAAAGATAAGAAAAGACAAAATTATGGATTTGTACATTTGTTGGGACTTGCCCACTGTAAATGCAAAGTGGAAACAAAAACATATTTATGATTAAAAATGACAAAGATGAGCTATTATTTGCTATAGATGATAAGCACCCACAGGCAGATTTTTATAGCCTCATTGAAAATGCAAGGACTGCTTTTACGCCTGTAAGAAACACTGATATTGGTGCAGTTATGTCTACTGCCAGAAATGCATTCTTTTCAATGATGTTGTCCTGTTATGGTATGAAGACATGCCTCTAGGAAACACTACACATTTATTATTGTAAAAAAACAATACACATTTTTACTGTAAAAAAAGATTTCTCAATTAATGATGTAACAGCAATTTCATTATCATTTATGTGAAATCCATTTAGTTTAAATGATAGATAATACCAGAAATTGAAACACCTGCACCGCACAGAATTTTGAGGGATTTTCCTACCTTACTACAAAAGCAATTACAACTAAGGTTTTGATTTAGGGTTTTTAAGAGGGGAATGTAATAAGTCTGGAATTACACACATACATATATTTATATTCCTTTTATATTATCTCACATTATAAATCTTTAAAAATATCTAAAATACAAACATGCCAAGGGAATCAAAATAAACTGCAGTATTTGATATCCTTTCATACAAATAGTAAGTCAATTATTTATTCAGTTACACTAGGACTCAAGAGAATGATATATTTAAAAATAAATCTACTGGACATGTCTATGTAGAAATCTCCCTGCATACTTTTTTTTCCATGTTTTAGGAACTCACTAAATATAAAGCCATAGGATGAACACTTGGGTCCCCCCATTAAGTTAATTGCAAAACTTCCTCTGACTTCAATACGCTGGATTTAATCCATTTATCACTATTGATTGAATTCCTTATTATTTATAATAATGTCATTTAGTGCGTAATAGCATTTTCATTCATAGAGCTAAAAAATTTACAGAAGTGGCTCTTATTAGCACTATACCTTCTTATATAAAGGGAAAAGAGAAGTTCAAGAAGTCTAAATGATTTGCCTAATATCCTTTAGTGAGTCTGTGACAGATTCCCAGTCATACACCCTATCCACTTATTTTTCCCCAAATGGAAGTGTACTACTTTATTATAAAGAAATGTGATCTGCAAGAAGCAAATCTGCAAGAATTCTCCAGAGGTTCTAAAGATTTCAACACGACCCATACAAGAATTAAAATAAGTCTATGTCACTATTTTTCTTATGTTAAAGTACAAGGCATTGACATATGTTAAATAGGAAATAATTAAAAATATAATTTAAATACTATATCATATATAGTATGCAACTGCTGTAACGAGCTGTAATGAAAGAAGGATACACAAATGGATCATTATAGTCTATGCTATATATGATGAAAGATGAAACAGAATTAAACATTTATGCAAATAAATCATATGCAGAAGAAACAAAAGATTGATAAATAAAACTAATAGGAACATTACATCAATAAAATAAATAACCACAGAAGTAGCTACCATTTGTACTGGTGATAGATTTCCTTAATGAAATGTAGTGATATAAATCATGTCTGAAAGAAAAAAAACCCTGAAATCTAAACCATGATAAATTTTACAGCCTTAAAGAAATAGAGAAACAAGAAACAAAGTACTCTAAATAAAATACATCTTAAGAGAGAAATTGGGTTTAGATTCAGAGCAAGACATCTAAATCGAGAACATATTTTCATAATTTTGGTAGGAACCTCAAATAAAGTCTAATATCCTTGAATAGTGTTCTAGCAGGGTAATTTTCTCTCATAGTAAACATTGAAGGAATATTGGTATACATACCCTCAAAATATCCTATTTAATTCTATTTCAAAGTGCTTCATTACAATACTTAGACAAATAATACGGACAAAATTCTATGGCTGATTTGATTGGATTTTTTTCATAAGTTTCTTTTTCAGGGTACTAGAGTATTGGTATAGACTAATCCTTCTGTTACATAAACAACAATGCCTAATATTTATAACTATTTCCAAAGTAAGTAAAATAAAAAAATAAAAAAGCTAAATACATGATGCTCAAATAAACAAGTATTATGGCTTACCGAAGAAGGGACAATGGGGTAACACCAACACATGTGCATTGTTGAGATCCAGAGAATTAAAATAAAGTGTAACCTGAACAGACTGTAAAGAAAAGCTCAAATTAGTTTAATTAATTAAAATGAAAATGAAATAGATGTATGCATATGCACTCAATAAAATTTTCCCAATACACAATATAAAATACAATCTCTTTACCTGATCATTTTTTACCCAGCAATTATGTGCATATATGCAGTTTTATTGCCAAATTCTTCACATTCCCGATCAGTTAATTCCTAGGTGACCGTTTTATACCAAGAGTTCAGGAGTGAAAATGTCATCAAATCTGATTTCATTCTGACTAACTGGTCCTTGTTTGGCCTTTTATTCTTGTTAAAAGTGAAAATGGCAAGAAGATTTGCTCAACTGCCATTATCAATTGATTTAATTTAGTATTGCCATTAAAAAGTCTTTCAAGTGAGTTTACTGTTAGTCTGTATTATCATGGCACAAAGGATCAAAGGTCTCCAAACTCCATAAAACATGTATTTTAACAAGAGTTTTGCCACTCACTGTAAGTTATATTAACCCTCTGAATGCATCAGGCACTACCTGGGAATCATGGAAAATGTATTTTCAGTTAAAATTATCTCAAAGCTAATTATACATGGAGACAAGGGAGAATAAATATCTCCTACAACTTTTTTTAGCTAGGCAAGTATCCAGGATCTGTTGGTGGGTTGTATTTTTTTCTGAGATATGTAGCCCTAATACTTTTTTTTTTACAAGCCCAAAAGAAAATACAGTAATTGTAAGACTCTAAAATGAACTTCCTTTGCTATAACCAGGCCAAGCTATTGGGACCAATGTTGCACCTCTTATACATGTGCATATTACATTGTTTTAGAACCTCAAAGTGTGCCAGGGAAATCTCATATAATTGTTACTATGAATATACAGTAAAATCACTGTTATCCTGCATGAGTGAGGAATGCTGGGTGCTGGTAATGTAAAAATGCTGATTATCTAAAAATACCAGAGCTGGAGCAGGGGGCTTGCAAGTGGCGGTGGCAGCAGTGTGGAATTGTGGTTGGTGGTGGTACAGCAGCAGTGTGGCATGGTTGCAGGTGGCGGCGGCGCAGTGGTGGATGGCAGCAGCACAGTGGCAGTGGCACAATGCTGGTTAATAGAGTATGCTGGCTAGCAGAATGCCGGAAAACAGGGATTTTATTGTAGCTTAGTCTTCCTCTGTATCAAGTTTTTAAGCATGCTTAAACTTGCATTAAATGCAATTCCAGTTAAGCTACTTGACAGTCAACTTTGAAAATGGACAGATGACAGATACATATTAAGACATTATAGCCCTCTCTACATTTTACAGGTATTGTGTGATTAACTGGTTAATTGTGCAATTATGTGGAGACCAGCTACATGTGCAAAGTAGCTATCACACAATAAAAAGCTCCAACCAGCTATAAAGTAAAACCTTGAAAATGTGTACTAACTTTATAGCTGGTTGCCATTGAGCTTTAATTCATACGTGTAGCAGGGTCTCCAGGATCATGGTGATACTCTGGCCCCAGGGGTCTCCCACTCCTCTGGAGTGGGGGGGGATGCCCTGGGGAGTTCCTCTGGCCCCAGGGGTTTCCCCACCCCCTTGGGACAGGGAGATTGTACTTGCAGCAATTCTCTGGTCCCAGGGGTTTCCTGCACCCCACAGGGCAGGAAGACTGCCACAGCATTGATCCTCTAGCCCAGGGAGTGCATGGGGTGTCCCCATGGCTGGGAGCCCCTCAGGTGGGGTGCACAGGGCTCCCAGCCATGGATACTTGTCAGTGCAGGGAGAGCCCAGGATTGGGTCCCCACTGCAGAAGCAATAAGGTGCAACGGGATCTAAGGTGCTACCCCACAATTGCACCTCCTGCCATGCACATGTAGCATAGCAGGAGCTGCAATTGTGTGAGTCATGCATTAGATCCTATCATGCCTTTAGTTTTGTGAGGAGAGGTGGCCTGTCTGTGCCTAGGGTACAACTAACAGATGTGCAGAGATGTGGGATTTTAGGCTTATATTAGAAGCACATTTATTTAATTTTTTGTACTTCTTGGAATTTAATTATTTTGGACATTAATTTCTTCTATTGCACACATGTATCTTAGAAAACCCTATCTTCATTAATTAAATCAAACTATAGAACTATGCTTGCAGTACCTACTAGTGTTGCTGTTTGTTTTATTGATGGAAAATTCCCATTAACCTACTCTGTCAGTCAAAGCTTTATTTGTCCCTTATAGAATGTGGTTTCTAAAGGTGAATGCAGCACTATTTTGCTCTAAATATTTTAGCTGGCACTGTATTTAATAGGGAGAAGTGAACCTTATAAAATACAAGGTTTGCAAATGTATTTGAATCCTTTTTGCTTCTAGGTTGAGAGCTTTTGTTTCTTGCGAGAAAAAAGCCATACTTTCTTCCTTGAGTGATTCCACAGCAAACAATGTATTTTGATGAAATACTGCCTGTTTGGGAAGGAAGAACAACCTCTCTGGCCAAACTTACATAAGTGGGTTACCACATATTTGATTTCTATAGGGTACAACAGCAGCAAAAGCAACAGGGGTGCAGAAAATACAGAGCAGGTCATGAAAAACCAAGGAAAATTTGACGTCTGAAAGAAAAGATCTCAGCTTTGCAACTAGACATGGATGTGAAAAAGGACTTTGGCCACCACTGACAAGTGGGAATTCAGAAGTAGACAATCTTAAAAGTTTGAAAACCTCTTCTGACAAATTAAGCACAGATTTTCAAAGGATACAGCAGATACGTTCTATGCTAAGCCTTCCAGAGCTTTACCTCTACCTATCAGGAACATCTCTGCATTGTCAAAACTGAATTTAAGCCCATTCCTCTCGCTCATGCACACAGAATATATGAGAATGAATAATATGCAGCGACAAATTAGAGCAACGAATGCAATAAGAGATCTCAAAGTGATTTACAAAGAAGGCAAGAATCACTATTTTCATTTTACAAATGAAGGAAGTGTGTGGCATGGAAAAGGAAAATGACTTGCCTAAAGTTATCCAGCAAGCCTGTGGAATTATAACACTTAATACCCCTTTGAGAAACTTACTGGGCATCTAACTACCTTTATAAATTTGGCCTCATGTTATCATTTTAAATATGCAGGTTTTCACTGGTCTATCCAGAGAGATGAAATGAAAGAAGCTGTTGAAAATTACAAAATGAAATCAAAATTTTCATTTGATCATTCATAATTAAGGGCATTTGTTTAGAGTTTCTGCCTGGCTTTGATTGTGTGGATCAATGGCACTGCAGTCACATATTCAATCTCTTTCCTTGACAATGCCTTGCACATCAAAAGTGATAGAAGTAGGTGACAGAATGAGGTTCTGTGAAGAGACTCTGGGTAAGATGAGCAGTTAGGAACAATGGCAAGATTGATCTAACCATTCATCCTTTTGAAGTAAACACATCACGTTCCAGGAAGTACAGAGCTTTCATGTAAGGACTGAAAATCTGCAGCAGCGGTAAAAATCCCATGGCACTCTACAAATAAGTAGGAGTGTGACCTGCGTCCTTGGCTAAAAATATGTCCGCCTCTTAGTGCTATGTACTGTGGTAGTCACTAAATATTCACCTGTTTGCTATACTTTAGGATTAGGGTTGACATGTCCTCACAAATATGTATTTGCAATTGCAGGTAATAATGCAACCATACATTATGGCATGGTACAGTATAGTATGGTTACACTATCATAACACCTTGCACTTTAACTATTTGTTCAGCACCTTATGATGGAATGGACTATAGAAATATCAAAGGAAATAATCCCATTTTAAAGAAAGTAGTATGTACATCAGTTATAAAAACTGTCATGAGAACCCTTAATTACTTACATATTCAGAAACTGCAGTCATGCATAGGGAAATGTTTTCTTTCTGAGTTTATCATCATATCTCAACATGTAGTGCATGTCTACACATGCAAGCACGTGCAGTTGCAGAGGTTCAAATAGAAGCAGTGCAAATTTGAGCCGGGACTTTTCCCCTCAGGACATGTGCTTGGACATTCACTTTGTTGTGGAGCAAATTGTGCCACTTGGGGCAAAATAACCCTGCCTGGCTCCTTCTGGATCTGCAGCCAGGGGGAGCTAGAGCCCGGGGCCAGCACCTGTGCTGTCCCCAGCAGTATAAAAAGCTGCCCTGTCCTGGACCCAGTACAAAAAGCTGCCTTGGCAAGTAGATCAGGGTTACTCACTCTCAGGAGCTTCTGGGGCTCAGTCAATTGGCTCCTTGTGCCAGCTGGAATGCTGAAGCAGCCCTGAGAGTTCCCTGCACCCTCTACCCACTGCAGCAGTCTGGCAGTGGGGGCTGCTGCCTGACTGTGACCTGCTGCACACCTCCCAGACCCAGATAGGGACTGTACAGCCAGTAGAGGCATCTGCCCCTCTAGGCCAGCTGCCAGTGCACTGTGGCTGCAGGGTTGGCCTCTGTGCAGCACTACTGCCATTTGTGCCCCCTGGCTAGCCATCAGGGCAGCTATCATCTGGAAGATGTTCCAGGTGTGGTGTCCTGCTTTGAACTGTCAAAGCATGTCCTCCAGGCCCCATTTGGCCAGGAGGTCAGCCACAGCCCGCTGGGTCCAAGGTGCCAGCTCTGAGCAAGCAGGGTCCTGCCACTGGCCTCCCTAGCAGGAATTCTGGTGTTCCCTGTTGGAAAATTGAAAAATCCCTGATAAAAAAAATCCCAAAGTCACTCTGTAAAATACCCCCAAATCCATGTTCCTCCACAAGTAAAACAAAAGACCACTATAAAGAGAGAGAGACAGAGATTAGTTGGACAATGTTTTATTGATATATCTACAGTGTTAAAGCAAGTCTCTTATCATAATAATAAAGTGAACTCTAAATACATGTTTCTTGAATTCATGAATACATGAATATATATTTTGCTGCCCCCCACAGGGGCTAAATGGCCCCCACAGGGGCTACCACCCCCCCTGCAAGGCCTACATGCCCCACCCCAGTTTCCCGATTGCTGCCCCACCTGGCCCCATCCTCTGCCAGCTGCTGTAGCTCCCC